GGATCTCAAGATGGGGATGAAGATCGGTGGAGGGCATGAAGCTGGTAGACTGTATTACCTTGATGGTGGTGGTGGTGGTTCTTTAACAACTCTTCAATCGTCTCTCACCCCTCTCCAGTGGCATTGCAGACTTGGGCACCCATCTCTTAAAGCACTTAAAGCAACTTGTTCCAGCATTGAGTCGTCTTTTTACTTTGGATTGTGAGTCATGTCAGTATGGGAAACATCATCGGGTTTCCTTTAGTCCTAGAGTCGATTATCGTATGTCGAGTCCTTTTTCTTTGGTCCGTTCGGACATTTGGGGTCTAAATAAAATAGTGTCACACAATTGATACAAGTACTTTGTTATTTTTGTTGATGATTATTCAAGGATGACATGGCTTTATCTTATGAAAGAAAGAAGTGAATTATTTTCTATTTTCCAAAAGTTTCATGCTGAAATCCGCACTCAATTTGGTATTCACATTAAGATCCTACGTTCAGATAATGGCCGGGAATATTTTTGTACACCCTTTCAACAATATTTAGAACAACACCAGTATTATTCATCAAACCTCTTGCTCTTACACCCCCCAACAAAATGGGGTAGCTGAATGGAAAAATCGCCATATCTTAGAAATCACTCTGTCCCTGTTGCACCATATGAATGTACCCAAACATTTCTAGAGTGATGCTGTGCTTACATCTTGCTTTCTTATTAACAGAATGCCTATGTCCATCCTTAATGGTCAGTCTCCCTTCTCTGTTCTGTTCCCTACGTTGTCTCCTTTTCCTCTTACTCGGGTTTTTGGGTGTGTGTGCTTTGTTCATGATATTGGTCCCGGACTGGACAAATTAGATGCACGATCTATGATATGTCTTTCTTGGCTATTCTAGGACCTAGAAAGGGTACAAGTGTTACAATCCCAATTCTCGACATTGTTTTCTGTGTCCTGATATTACCTTCTTTGAGTCGGTTCCGTTCTTTTTTGGGTCACATGTCTCTTCCCCTTCTTTCCTTCTACTTCCAGTTCTTGTTGCGGACCCCATTCCTCTTGTTCCAACTGCGCCTAAGTCTTCACCTCTAGTGCCACTTCTTCCTACACGACCACCTATCCATCAACGGTATATGCATTGACATGCACCGGCCTCTCCAACTTCTTCACCGTCGACGGATCCAGAAGTGACTTCCGCAGCACCATCACCCCCTGTTTCTGACCTTGACCTTCTCATTGCCCTACGGAAAGGTAAACGTAGTTGTACCCTTCATCCTAACTCCAATTATGTTTCTGTTTCTCACCTATCTCCTTCCCATCGACAATTTGTTTCGTTGTTATCTTCTGTTTCTGTTTCTGTTCCTAAGGATGTCCAGGAAGCCCTTATCTCTCCGAGGTGGCGTCATGCGATGGAAGAAGAACTCTCCGCTCTAGCTCATAATCATACGTGGGATCTCACCACTCTTCCCTCGGGTAAGCATACTATAGGGTGTAAGTGGGTATATATGGTCAAGAAATTGCCTAATGGTAGTGTTAAGAGATTGAAAGCTCGGTTGGTTGCCAAGGGTTATTCACAGTTATATGGTATTGACTACACAGAGACCTTCTCTCCTATTGCCAAGATTGGCTCTGTTCGTGTTTTGATCTCCCTAGCTGCTATACATGATTGGCCCTTGTTTTAGCTTGATATTAAGAATGCTTTTTTGCATGGTGATCTTCTTAAAGAGGTGTATATGGAGCAACCACCTGGGTTTGTTGCTCAGGGGGAGGACGGTAAGGTGTGTAGGCTCAAGAAAGCTATTTATGGACTTAAACAGTCCCCTTGTGCTTGGTTTGGCAGATTCAATGAAGTCGTAAAGAAGTTTGGCATGAAACAGTGTCAGGTTGACCATTCAATATTCAGCTATGACTCTGATGCGGGGAAGATTTTGTTAGTAGTTTATGTTGATGATATTGTTATTACTAGTAGTGATAGGCCCGGGATTGACAGGTTGAAAACATTTCTGCATGATCATTTTCAAACAAAAGACCTTGGCAAATTGAAATACTTCTTAGGTATAGAAGTGGCAAGGTCTAAGTATGGTATTAATTTGTGCCAGAGGAAATATGTTCTTGATCTATTGGAGGAGATAGGCTTATTGGGTGCCAAACCAGCGGAAACACCCATGGAATTGAATGCCAAGTTGAGCAGTGATACAGGTGAGGAGTTTGAAGATCTAGGAAGGTACAGAAGGTTGGTGGGCAAGCTAAACTATCTAACTATCACTCGGCCAGATATCTCATTTGCAGTGAGTGGTGAGTCAATTTATGCAGAATCCTCGGGTTCCACATTGGGATGCGGTCCTAAGGATTGTAAGGTATTTGAAGGGAGCTCCTGGTCGTGGCTTGCTATATAAGGGTGGTGGAAATATTGAAACAGAGGGATATACAAATGCTGATTGGACTGGATCTATATCTGGCAGAAGGTCTACTACAGGTTATTGTACTTTCCTTGGGGGTAACTTGGTGACATGGAAGAGCAAGAAGTAGACCGTGGTGGCAAGAAGTAGTGCAGAAGCTGAATACAGAGCCATGGCACAGTCAACTTGTGAACTAGTGTGGCTGAGAAATCTCCTACAGGAGATGGGGTACTCGATTACCACTTCGATGAAGCTATATTGTGACAACCAAGCTGCAGTTCACATCTCCTCTAACCTAGTTTTTCATGAGAGAACAAAACACAGAGGTTGATTGTCACTTTGTGAGAGAAAATGTTCTTAGTGGAATGATAAGTACAGCATATGTTAATACAAGGTGTCAATGGTCTGACTTGTTCACCAAAGGGTTGAGTCGGGCAAGAGTGGATTACATATGTAACAAGCTAGGACTATATGATATATACTCTCCAGCTTGAGGGGGAGTGTTAGTGTCGACTAAATAAGGGTAGAATAGTCATTTGGGTTTTATTAATATGGTGATGTGTCTTTTAGTTGGTGCTGATGTGTCCTAACTTAAATAGGGGCATAAATGACATTTGATATTTATCTTAGTAAACTATATACCCTGGCCGACCTAAGAGAGAATGAGAACCATTCTCTTCTCTTGGGTTCGAACAGGTTTCTTCTTCTTCGATTTCTCCTTCTCTTCTTCTCTCCCTCTCTCTCTTCTCTTTTACAACAAGTTCAGATCTGAAACTGACAAATATAAATCATCACAATATATATATATATATATATATATATATATATATATATATATATATATATATATATATATATAAACACAAAATGAATATTTTAGTTTAGTAATATCTATTTTATAATTATAATCTCACAATATTAAGAATATAAAAGCATTTTATAACACAATGTAAAAAGCTGCTTTGCGATTAGACAAGGTGAGCTTCCAAGGGCACCTTGTTGCCTAGGCGTCGCCTTGACAACTAGGTTTTCACTTTCAAGTATATGGCTGGAACAGGAGGAATTTATTTCTCCCCTTTTCTTCTTCTTTTTCTTTTCTTTCTTTTAGGGGTGCAAGTCAGGTGATTGATTTGAAGAATTTACGCTGCTGGGTCCAGGCTTTCAGGCCCAGCCTTCAGATCTTGATAAATTCTCAACCTGAGCCTGCCCAAGTTGCACCCCTATTTTCCTTTGCCTTTTCTTTTATGATGGGTAGGGGATTTTACTTGGAAGTATTTTTCTGTCATCACATGAAAGTCTTTTAGGGAGAATTTCTTTTCCTTTCTCTAACCTTGTTTGCAAGGTTAGAACCCTACTCATTGATCTGAAGGCTGCTATGCTTATTTGCTTCTAACTATCAAACCACCAGAATCAATCTCTCTCTCTCTCTCTCTCCCCCTCTCTCTCTCTAATGCATGCACACCTATACCAAGGTTCTAAATATTGATAAAGGCCAATACACTGATTGGGGCGCATTGGCCTGTATCGTGCTGTGCCTTATCCTTTTTTTTTTTAGTTTTTTTCACATTGGTTCAGGGGGGTCAGTTTAAGGCCTGTTTACCCCCTGAACCAGGTCAGACCCCAAAACACCTGTAATAGGGATGTATTGGGGGGTGACCGATAGGTCCAATATGATACATATCGGCTGATATGCCCCGATACGTTGCGATTTTTTGATCATTGGCCTATACCACCTTTCCTAGCTTGTACATATTTTGACAACTAGATTTTCTTTATCAAATAAAACATTTGGTTGCAATCTTGTAAATAAAATGTGTAATGTGCTTACTTGGGGAGTATCAGGGATTGGAGGTTTTGTGTCAAACTGGAGAGCAAACATGATTGTTCTGCATCTCAGGGATTGGAGGTTCTGCATGGATCTTGAAATGCAGTCAAATGAGGAAAAGGAAGGTCATAGAAGATGTCCATGGGGATTGTTCTGCATTCTGCATGATCTTGGATTAATTCTGGTCTCCTCTACTGTTTTGAGATGGAATACTAAAGAAATGGTTGGTTTTACTGATGGATGCCAAGATTGGGTGTTTATTAGGATTTATTTTATAGAGTTTATTCGCATAGGAAGCTTGTATAGATGCATAATTTGAGATGTGATGTCCATCTTGTATAGCATCTTCTTGTAAATTTTCCATATTTTTAGATTGTTGCTGCTTGTTAAAAAGCAAAACAATTTCTCAAGGAAAAGAAAAAACTTAGTGTTAGATTACTTAATTGATGATAGGATGACAAAAAGAAATGTTGGGTTGCTTACCTTTCCATTAGAAAACAGATTTGCCCTTGATACTATGACATCTTCTCAAATGCTCTTTTTTTTATACTGTACATTCCTGTAGTGTTATAATGACCTGCTTAGTGTGATTTGAAATTGTTTTTCCCTTAATACTATTTTCTCCTTCAAACAGGCTCACATTAGCATGTCACATGCTCTTTTATAAGATACTGGTTGGCTTAATTGCTTATGTATGTTGTGTTTTCGTCCAGCACTTGGTGCATATTCCTGTCTGTTTGAGTTTACATGATTTGTTCTTTGACTAAACTTCTATATATGATATCTTTCTCTTGATTGAAGGTAGCTTTGCTCTGAAAAAGCAAATGCTGGATGACAGAAGATTTCCTAAGATGCTTCTGAATTTACAACGGCTACTGCAGGTAGTTCTCAACTCCAGGCATTTCATTGACAATGGTATATATGACATGCTGGGTGGTTAGAATCATTGGAAATTGACAGAACCAGATGGGCACCGACATGTTTTTCTTGTACTGTTTCTAAACCATATCTTCTTTTTTTTTTTTGGAATATTCAAAATACCAAAACTTCATAATTGTTCTACCCAATTTAGTTTTCTCTAGGTAAGGGGACATTTCAACATGAAATCTAGCATGACATGGGCCTCATTGTTCAAGTTCAAATATTGTTTAATTTTTTCCCTTAAATCAGGTAATTGCACACGGGGAGCAAGTATTCCCACGTGTTAAAGAAAAATGTGCTACAAAAAGTTGGTTTGCCAGTGAAGACATTGTTTCCCTTGAAGAGCTGATTGGACGCCTTAGAAGGCTTAAGGAGAATGTTGGGTTCATAGTAAACCGTGTCAGAGCAATACAGACCAGTCTTGATAGTTGGCAATCTGAGCAAATAAATAAAAAGCTTTACTATCTTTCTTTCCTTTCAATAATATTCCTTCCTTTATCAATCATCACTGGGGGTAAGTTTCCTTATTTTTCTGATTGTTTCTGAAAGCAGTTTGCTAGTTTATTTTGCTTGAGCTTTGCTTTAAGCTTTCTGTTAGTGAGAAGTATCTAATATCAACCTTCTTCAATGGTGGATGCTTTCAACAGTATTTGGGATGAACGTTGGGGGAGTTCCATGGACAGAGCAAAAAGATCCTGCCCTAAAAGATGGATTTCACAATGTCTTGTTGATCTGTCTCATTGTGCTACTGCTTCTACTGCTTTGCTTTACTTTCCCATCTCTCTATGTCCGTGTATCTGCTTGGCGGAGAAGGGTGATGCTGAGGAGCTGGTCTCTGAATAGGAAGTCATTCTTAAGGAGAACTATTGGAAGTGGAATACAGGAAAGAGGGGGTTATTTCCGCCTTTGAAAGTCCTAGATTATCTTTTTAGTAAGTGCCATGTTCCTTTTTCTCTTCCAGTTTCCATTTGTTGTAGCTTGTCTTTGTAGATGTTTGCTTACCTGTAAGGTTTCCTAGGGAAATTTGCAGCTTGTTGCTCCGGAGAATATTTATTAAGTCATTTCTCAAGGAACTTGATGGAACAATGGATTCTCCTCTTCCTGTGTTTGAAGGTCCTCAAGAACTTTTGAATGCTCTTGAACACACCATAGCTGTACAAATGAGAAGCAGTTGACTGACTGATGATGAGAATTAACGTTCTTGTTGAGTCTGAACAGAAGAAAGGCAATTTTCAGTTGGACAGTGCTCATCTGTTGGACCCCTTGTATCTTTATGATTTGATTTATTTATTCTTTTTATGAAGTTGGAAAGGTCCTTCAGTTTTGATTGTGTATAATGTTCATTCTTTTAAACATGTCCACTCTAAATATGAAAAGTCCAATTTGATGTTTGATGGTCCTCAATCGCTTAGCCTGCTATTATATCCTGTTTTCCTGGAACTTCTAGGGGTGCATGCATGTAAACAGCACATGGTTTCAGCACCTTGCTCCACTAATTCTGTTCAGCATGAATGTCAGTCCTCTTCTTTATATGAATTTGACAAATTGTCATGGAAATTTTCTCTTTCAAAAGACAGCGCTCTATGAGGAGCAGATCCAGACTTGTATCAGGCTGTTCGAGCTCAAGCTTGAAACTCAACTTGAGTTCGGTTGAGTTCCATGTTTTTCGCTCGAACTCAACTCGAGCTAATTATAAATTAGTATTAAAAATTATAAATACGTTAATATTAAGCATATTAAAAAATATAAGTATATTATGAAAGTTAATTATAAATTTATTTATTTATATTATATAAAAGTTAATGTAAAAAATCAATGCTTATTTATATTATAAATACAAATATATTAAAAAATAGTATCTTATTATGAACTTGATTAGGCTTGCAAGCCACTTTAACCGGGTATTGTGAAGCTCGAAGTCAGTTCGACCAAATACTCAACTTAATCAAGCTCAACTTGAACTCAATTACTTTGAGCCGAATTCAAGTATTTACTGAGCTGATGCTGAGTATCTCGCAAGTAGGCTCGACTTGCTTACACCCCTTTAGTGCACAGATGAAATAAAATGCAACCTGATGCAAAGTAATTTAAAACCCAAAGCAAAAGTGAACAAGAATTTGCATTCTTTGCATTTATACTCTTATTTGTAATATTGGTTCAGTCTCGAAATAGTATAAATACAAATATGTACAGTTCGAAACTTTTTATATGGTATTTTAAACCTTATATTTGCACTGTAGGCTCAGTTTAGGAGTACAAATACAAATATGTAGTGTAAAACTTTATATTTTATATTTATTTGTACTATACATATTTGTATTTATACTCCTTCCAAACTGAGCCGTAATATTTGTTTTTGAATTCTTTGCAAATGGAGCCAATGTGAATGAATTTAAGGCAGGCCCAGCCCGAGCTTGAACCAGCCCAACCCGGAAATTTACATAGGCTGGGCTTGGATTTTTGGTCCTCAGGCTGGGCTTGGCCCAAGAAGTTGAGTTTTTTATTTTTTGGGCTGGGCTCAAGTCTAGCTCTTAGGTAGTCCAAACCCAGCCCGAGCCCGGCCCAATTATATACATTTATACATATATATGTATATATGTAAATGTTGTATACATATTTACATATATATACATACATATTTGTATAGAAATTTTGTATACATATTTAAGTACATACATAAATATATGTATATATATTTGCATAAATACATTTATATATGTATAATTTTAGATTAGGTTCATTGACCAACCCAAGCCCGGCCCGGGCCCGAACCCAATCCGAGTGCATCAAATTACGGGGGGGCTGGGCTCAGGTTGGAAAAATCGGGCTTGACCTCAGGTTCAGGACAGGCTCAGGCCTAAAGCCCAGATTTTAGGGCCGGGCCTGGGGTGACCATAAACCCGGCCCAACCCGCCCGACTTGCACCCCTACAGTAAAGGCATAAAGAAATAGAAATGAATAAGTTTTTCTCCCTTTAAAACTCTATCATTATCCAAAACCGGGCATTGCCACCACCTCTTATTTTTCTACACAAACCACCATTTTCTACCATTGTTTTAACAGTTTACTTATTCGCACCGCCTCTTTCAATTTTAATCTTATGAATGTTCTGAAATCGGCCAATTAATCCGAACCATCCAAATGATGCTCTAGATTTTAGCCGCTACCACCATTTCCATCAAAACCCTCATTCATTTTCCCCCTCACCACTATTTGTAAATGCACCACCACCTGTTTAGGCTGTGTTCGTTAATGTGAATGGTTTTGTTTTTTAAATAAAAATAAGTGTAAAATATTAAACATACTCAAATTTTCATCAATTGACTTAAATATACCCTAAGTTTACTAGACCTAAATATACCTTGTGAGCATAAAAGATTTCTTTTACCTTTCAGCATTTCAGATTTTCAAAAAGAGCCAAAAAAACCAAGACCCCAACAACTACCACCAAATGACCAAACCTAAGTAGCAACTACCTTCTACATTCCTCCTTTCTCCTGTTCTTTCCTCACCCGAGAAGCTGATCAGATATGGTGGCTACCCAAGAAAAGGAAAGTGATAGAATTCAGAGAGGTAATACCCTGTTGGCTTACTGAGCCTTCTTTGTCCATACTTTCTTTGTCTCTCTTGTTTAGTGACTTCAAGAGGCAATATCTCTGAGTGCTTTCACATCCAAAAACAGACAAAAATATAGAGTGGAGGTTATATTACAATTTACATGTGACAATGATAAACAAAGAAGTATCAGATTGCAATCCAACGGTAAACAAACAATTTCATTTTACCATTTCCCATATACAATTTCACAAACCATTTTCTTGAAGGATAACGTTCTATTTAAAGCAGAACTCCCTATTTTAAAGCAGAGTAAGATCCTTGAACGATGGAATTCTATTGTGGTTGCAGAAATAGAGCAAGAAAGAAGGTATCATTTGAAAAGGAGGGATTTTTTTCATAGGGCAAAATAGGATTTTTAGAATATTAAAAGATCTTTACATTGATAAAAAAAAGTATTAAAAAGGTTCAAGAGACGAGAGAAGAAACTGAGTGTATGTTTTAAGTCTTTCACTCTGAAAACTGTTTCAACCCAGGCCCAAGCCGAAGGTCAAGCTTGATATTCCCAACCAGAACCCAGCCTGCACTGAAATTTGATGCACTCTTGTTGGGATTGGGCTGGTCAATGAGCCCAGTCTAAAATTTGACATACATTTTTGTGTTTGTGAAAATATGCTTGTGTTTGTCTATAATGCATGTATGTATGTACATACTATATATACATGTATATATGCATATATGTATAACTGTATTTGTATAGTTGGGCCTGGTTCAAATTGGCTCAGGTTAGGATAAGTACAAGCTGGGCTTGGTTTGTGATGGTGCACGATCTGGAAGCTCCTATCTGGAAGGTTACCTGGATGCTGGTCGCTTAGCGAGATGGTTCAAACTACAAGAAAACAGATCAAAGAACTCGGGGTAGCTAACCTGGCGAGATCACTCCGATGCTTAAGTTTGTACTGTGTTCTGGTAGCGAGCTAAAAGCTTGAATGCAAGTAAGCTAGTTAGTAAGTAATCTCGCGTACCTTGTGCTATGGGGGTTAATGCTCTTATATAGCTGAGCTGCTGTAGCTCTCACGAAACACTCCCGAGATCTTCTACCTGAACCCTAGAAGCCCATTCCACTCCAAAAGGTGGATAACGAGGTGGTTGATAAGGCTTATCGGGTCCATCCAATTCAGGCGGGATGACGGCAATGATCCCGAAGTGTTAGAAGACGGTTGGTAGGCTTCTAGATGCGCGCCACACGTGACTTTGGAAAGCTGAATCATCCTGAGATGCCTGGTCTCCAGAGCTCCAGGGGTGGTCGAGGTGCTCGGAGTGATCTGACCTGCCGAGGTGTAGTTCGACCCGCCAGGTGGCCGGGAATGCTGAGTCATGCATCTAGTCACTAGGTTGAGTCCACATGTCTGCAACTCACTAGGTTGGGCCAAATTACCCCTCATCAATTGCCCCCCAATCCCCGTGCCCGGGGTCTCGACCTGGTGCAAGAAGTTCATGATAAGCTCAGGTGGATTAGGCCCGATTTCCTTCTGGTCTGATGCCCGACCCAATGGTTGGATCGCAATGACACACAACTCGATCAGAAAAAACCAGATCGCATATTGGGGACACACGGATGCCACATGAGTTATAAACTCCGTGGATGCCAAAACGAGTGCTCAACCGAATTCGGCCTCGGTAGGCATGCACCTGGTTTTCATGAGAGCCATTGGATCATGCAGATCTGGACCGTTGGATGTCGGGTATAATGGCTATAAATAGGGGGTCCCTGGGACCCATCTTCTTCACCATATTTCGCGTATTCAGGTTTTGAGGTCGTGCATCTGTCTCTAGGTCGGTGCCACCTACCCTTGTTCTCGAGGTCGCTTTATTCTCTTCTTCGGTCTTTAGGTGAGTTCGCCTTGTCTCCGTTTCTGTTTTCTGTTTGTCTTTTCCTTTCCACTTAGTTCGTCATGTCTAGCATCGATAATGGTAGTCTCTTCAACTTAAGTGATGAGTCTGCCAGAGCCAAGGTGGGGACCTCGGCACAGGTTGAAGAGTCGAACCCTACCGAGGTGAGCGCGTTGGTGCATGATTCTAACTCCAACCCGTCCGAGGCAGATGCACCCCTACAAGAGCGCAAGGCTTCCGGGAAGGGAGCCTCCACCTCGCGCCGCACTCGGGGACCAGATAGCTTTGGCCTTCGATCATGATGGCTGACAGGCTCCTAGCTCTGGCTGATCACTACAGGCTACCTGATAACCCTATATATAGCATTCCTTTAGGAAAGTATCCTTGGGACCATGATCACAGCAAGATCGTGGTGTTCGAGGAGCAGCTCATGGCTGGGTTGTGCTTCCCATTCCACCCCTTTATTATTGAGGTCGTCAAGGTTTTTGACATCGCCATAGATCAACTCCACCCTAACTCGATCTGCACCATTGTAGGTACCATCTCCCTCTCCCATGACTATAACAGGCCTTTGACCCTTGACATCTTTAGTTCGATCTGCTCCATCAAAAAGAACTCTGCCTGTGTCCTCCCAGAGAACAGGCATAGATATTACATGTCTCCTCGTCCCGGGTATAAGGTCTTATATGACGCCCCCAATAATGTCCCGGCCTAGAAGAGGCGCTATTTCGTGGTTCACAACACCGCAGGGTGGCTATTCCCTACTCATTGGAGACCGACCATTTTGGACTCCAGCATCAAGTTAGATAAGGAGACAAAGGCAAAAATCCGCTCTTGGGCGCAGCTCGGTATGAAGCTAGAAGACTTCTTGTCCAAGGAAAAGCTCATAAAAGTCGGGTTGAGTCCTCCTGGTAGGTTGCCACCTCGGTGCACACACTTGTCTTTTCCTTTGAATT